CAGAGGCAGTGTTTTGGCTTTGGAGCTTTTTCCAGGTCTTTTTCAGGACTTTGTTTTCTACTGGAAACACAAAATAATCACATCTTGATCCAGCTCATCTTTCTAGGAGACTAGTATCTCTGTGTTTAAAGGTAAAAACTTTGTACTTTGCAGCTGAGTTTACAAGAAACCGCATACACAGTGAACCTACTGAATTAATCTGGCTGGTGAAACAAACATGATAGACCTAAATGTAATAATTGAAATTTACAGCATGGGATCTTTAAATACAAAGAAAAGCCACAAAAAAGTATAAAAAGTATAGTATAAAGTGCACAGTAGTATAAGATTATTGCATTATTGTGTTGCCACGCTGGACTCAGCTCTAACTGTTTACTTTAAAGAAAAAAAATGTTTATTTTGTTAGATGAATAGCTTTTATTTTAGGGTGCAGGATATGGCCTGAGTAGGGAGGCATAACACTCACTCACGCATTCTCACTCACAGTATGCAAAGAGACCAGCTTTGAAAATTGAAGGCATATTGTAATCACAGTGGTGGTCTGTAGTATATACTGTAAACCAAAAGGAATTTACCCAATTATTGTAAATAAACTGTAAGGTCGTAAACTCAAATCCTATTTGTTTCTCTCTCAAGGCACCAACTTTAAATTCAAAAGAAGATTGCTCTTAATCAGTAGTCTAACCAAGATACATGAGTGCTCATCCTCTGCCTATTTCCTATCCTGGGCTGTCAGATCTGAGGCACAGTACCTGAGTATCCATAAACTATGTCTGATTACAAGTCAGCCGGATTTTGATCTGAGATTTATAGGAGGAAATGAATTATATGAATGCAGAGAGCTTACCATTCCCTCCTGTGTGGTTAGAATTTAATTAAAAAGCTGCTTTTTCTCTTTGTAACCAAATTACAAAATTACTGTCCTCATGATCAGTTTACTTTTGCTTTTGAGTTTCTGTCCAAACCACAAATGCAGAGGAATGTATGAAATGTACCTTTGTATCTCTGTTTAGAATTACTTGGACTTGAATGGTCTGACACTAGAATAAAAAGTGGAATTTAACAATAATGGAAAACAAATTGCACAATGTGACTGTTCAGCCAACGTCTCCATATCAACAGTCTTGAGCCATTAATTTCAGAATAATATAAATGACGAAGTAAAAACCTTACATTCTTCTTTTACCACATAATGGGAATATAATACTTTATACTTCATAAAGTATAAGTATACACATAAAGTATTGTATGTACAGTATAATGCTTTTATTGGCAAACCTTATAATTGTTCTGTTGTCATGAAAAAAGAGATCAGAAAAAGCATTGATTACCATCCACTAGCTCTTTCTAGCACATTTTGTAGTTTACTGGGATATTACCCACAAAAATACAACCAGCTACATATTGGAGAAACCACAAGAAGATTAGCTTCATGGACCGACAGAAACTAATACCACAACATTTCTAGCTGCCCAGTACTTCATAAGCCGTAATCATGAAGTCAAAGACATTATCATTCTTGTGAGTTTACTGCATCGTGTTTATGTTACTTTATACGGAGCAGAAGAAGGGCTGTGTTCAACTCCCGTTAAAACAAATGTGTTTTGTTTTTTTTTCATTTCAACACAAAAGAGTTTTCTTTGACTTTGCAGGCAAAACGGACATTTTAAATTCTTGACTTAGAATGATTGCAGATACTGTTGATATTAAGACTTATTTGTATTACTCAAAAGGTGTTGTGCACACAATTTTTTTT